ATAGGTATTTATTACTAGAATTTCTAGACTTTACTTACTAGATCTAGTACTTACTAGTAAAGAATTTATAGAATATTAGTTATATAGTCTAATATATAGACTAATACCTATAAGTACTTACCTATAATTAATAGTAATATTCTTAGACTATACTTTAAGCTCTTTTATAAGCTAGTCTTTCTTAGCCTTATTATTCTTCTTATCTATCTTCTATTAGGCTACTAGTATAAACTTCTCTCTCTAGAAGTCTAAGTAGTACTTATTAGTAGTATTCTTATCTAGTAGTACTTAGAACTCTTTATCTTATTTCTTTTTACGTATTTATTAGTTCTTAATAGTATTATAGTTTATAGACAACTCTTTCTCTTTTTTTTATAATTTTTAAGATACTATATTATAATTAGCGTAATAGTCTATATATTAGTTAATAAGAGCTAAAAAAAAGAGTATTAGTATAAAAAAGAGTATTAGTATAATATTTAATAAAAGTTATAGATTTTCTAGTTTATAATACTTATAAGTTAAAAATTTTATTTATTTATAGGTAGGTAAGAGAATTTTATAGCTTACGCTGTAGAAGTAGAGTAATAACGTTATACTTACGTAATCGCGTAATTTTTAGCGTACTACCTTTACCTTAACTTTTTAATCTCTAAAAATTTTCTTCTTTCTTATACTATACTTTCTTACTACTTTACTTAGTAAATTTTACACGTAGAGCGATATTTTAGCTATTATAGGCTAATACGCTTAACTAATACCTTTCTTTACTTTCTATTTTACTATTTTATAAGTACTTAAGTTTCTTTTTACTTTTATTATTATTTTTTTATTATAACTTTTTAATTTAACTTTTCTTATTACGCTTATTATTACTATTCTAACACGTTTATCTATATATTAGGTTTTTATTCTACGTTATTATAATATAGAAAAGCTAAGCGTTAAGAAGCCTTATCTAAAGCTCTAGATACGTCTTAACCTTTACTAACCTTGTTAGAAAATCTAGTCTAAGTTCTCTATACTCTTTTCTATACTAGAGAGTTCTACTAGGTTAGATATTTTAGCTCTATAGTCTTAAATAGAGAATCTTAATTTACTAGCTACTTCTTCTATACTATCTTCTAGTCTACGTTCTTTACTATCTTCTAGTCTACGTTATCTGTCTACTTCTCTGCCTAATTCTGCTTTACTATCTAGACTTACTCTACTAGTTACTTCTACTAAGTAAGCTTTTACCTCTCTAATTAATAGTTTTGCTAGGCCTACTCTATTAGCTACTATAACTTCTTTAACTATCTATTATAATCTAGCTAGACCTACGCGTAGAGATATAGCTTATACTTATAGTAGTCGCGGTAATAGTAGCTCTTATAGTACTATTACTACTAAGATACTAAGAAAGAAACCTACTTAGGTAAATACTAGTTAGTTAGGTATTAGTCTACGTATTAGGCCTTACTAACTATTTTTAGCTCTTAGAGGCAAGAATAGAAAGACTTAGAAAACGTTAAAGTAAAAGAAGACCTATAAGACTAATATAGGTACTAGTGTTTAGAAGACAATTAGCTATAATGTTAAAGCACCTCGCGCTTAAATCTATTATAGAGCTACGTCTAGAGAACCTAAGATACGCCGCGTAGAGCCTAGTAGTAAGTACCTATATTATTATTTTTCTAAATTCTATATATAATTTACTAATATATTAAAGTATAGGCTCTTTAAGAAATTAAGTACTACTAAAGAATAGTTAGTACTCTTACGCTTATAACGCTATTTTACTACCTTTACTACGAAATTAGTACTAAGTATAAGGCTAATATACGCTAGCAGGCTAATATACTTAGTATTCTCTAGATACTAACTAAGAACTTCTTATATACTCTTCTATAAAGTATATATTCTATTATACGTATTAGTTTATATATTAGTCTAACCTACTTATAGCTACTAATCTTACCTATATTTATAGAAAGCGTGTTACTCTTTAGACTAGAGATATTAAGCTTGTTCTACGCGTTGTGTTTAATTTAGACGGTTAGTTTAATTTTATTAATAATAACTATAATAAGTTGTCTATAGGTTAGATCTATAGCTACTTAGACTAGAGTTAGAGTAGTAGGTATTATAGCTTAGAGTTAGAGTTTAGTTTCTTAAACGTTCTACTTATAGAACCTTTTAGGTATATAGCTCTATTAGCTTTATAGTAAACTATAAGAGCTTACCTACTAAATCTTTTTTTTTATATAACCTACTCGCTACGCCTTTTAAATATTTATAAATAATTAGCTCTATATATTAATCTTATTAAAGTAAGGTTCTAATTAACTCTAATTTAATTAAAGATTATATAGTACCTTAATTTATTACTAACTTATATTATTAAGTTGCTTAATTAGCTTAAGAAAGATAATAAGCTAATAGCGTATTAGCTAGTACTTATAGAGTCTAAAGTCGTCTAGCTTTAAGTAGCTAACGTATAGAAAAAAAAGCGTAATTCGCGTAAAAGAAAGTAAATTTAGAAAGAGAATACCTTTATAATTAAAGCTAGCTTATAGCTAGTTACTTAAAGAGAGGCTACGAATTAGAATAAGAGTAAGAAGTAGCGCGAAGAGGTAGTAGCACGTAATAGCTAGCTAGCTTAGCAACACTATAGATGCTATAGTAAGCTAGAGTATAACATATAAACGTACTAGGTAGTTAAAGATAATATAGATAAGTTAAATAGCTTATCTAGATTTATCTTAAGTAGCTTAAAGTTAGAGTAATCTAAATAAGATAGTAGTATTTAGTAGAGACTTAGTATTTTTAGATTATTTATTTATATAACACGTTTGTTTATAAAGTACGTTATAGTTAAAGTACTTTAATACGTATACTAAAAGTTATATTATAGATATATATTATATACTAATTTTAAATAGCTATAAAAGCTACTACTCTATTAAATTCTAATAGTACTAACGTACTTTATAAATAAACGCTCTATATAAACAAACGCTCTAAAAATGCTAAGCTAGAAAAATTAAAAGGTTTTTCTTAAATAACTAAGCGAAACCTTAATATTTTTCTATAAAATTTTAAATATGTATAGAACTATACTTTGTACACTCTCTATTAAATTTGCACTATATATTTCTTATTACGTAAGCTAGAAGTAAGCCTTTTTCTAATAGTAGCTATTCTTTAAGTTTAAATCTTAATAGTACTAGTAAACCTTAATAATAATCTATAAAACTTTAAAGATATATTATATACTATAGTATAAAGCCTTCTATAAAGTTTAGTAGCGTTTAGCTTAGTAGTACTAGAGATATTTAGTTAAAGAGTCTCTAATAAGAAGTTTAGAGGTTTCTTCTAGAAATAGATAGATATTACTAAGCTAGACGCTACTAAACCTTATAAAAGGCTTTATACTATACTATATAATATATATTTAAAGTTTTATAGATTATTATAATAGTTTACTAGTTCTTATAAGGTTTAAACTCTAAGAATAGCTACTTTAAGAAAAGACTTATTTTAAGCTTACGTAATAGGAAATATATAGTGTAAATTTAATAGTTTGTGTATATTGTATAGATTAATATATATTTAAATTTTTATAGAAATATATTAAGGTTTCGCTTAGTTATTTAAGAAAGACTTGTTAATTCTTAGGCTTAGTATTTTTAGAGCGTTTGTTTATATAGAGCGTTCGTTTATAAAGTATATTATAAGAAGAATAAAATTATATCTTTCTATATACTAGTATATTTATTATACCTACTATAGCTACTTAACGTTAGCTACTTCTTACTATTAAAGATAGTATATAGCTACTAAGTTAAGATTCTAATATATAGCTATATTAACTATATTATAAAAACTAAGTTTTTATCTATATTTTATATAACTTTTTACGCGTTAATTATAGATAATAATATTAGAGTAGAATTTAGAGGTACTAGCTTAGTTCTATTTAACCTAGATTTAGTAGTATTAAAGCTTAAAGTTTAATTATATATGCTAATACTCTCTACTAATAATACTACTATCTAGAAGTATAAAATATCTAGTAATTCTACTAAATTAAAGTTATAATTAACTCTAATTTAGAGAAAGATTACGTAGTACTTTAATTTATTACTAACTTATATTATTAAGTTGCTTAATTAGCTTAAGAAAGGTAATAAGCTAATAGCGCATTGGCTAGTGCTTGTAGAGTCTAAAGTCGCCTAGCTTTAAGCGGCCAACGCACAGAAAAAGGAGCGTAATTCGCGCAAAAGAAAGTGGATTTAGGAAGGGGATACCCTTACGATTAAAGCTGGCTTGCAGCTGGTCGCTTAAAGGGAGGCTGCGGATTAGAATAAGGGCAAGAAGCGGCGCGAAGGGGTGGTGGCACGCGACGGCCAGCCAGCTCAGCGACGCTGTGGACGCTGCGGTGAGCCAGGGCACAACGCGCGAACGTGCCAGGTAGTTAAAGACGATACAGATGAGTCGGATAGCTTATCCAGATTTATCTTAAGCAGCTCAGAGTCGGAGCAATCTGAATAAGATGGTGGCATTTGGTGGGGGCTTGGCATTTTTGGGGCGTTCGGTGGTGTGGGGCGTTCGCTGGTGAAGTACGTTAATCTAAACTATGCAGGATATGGTGAGCAGAACAACAGTCTAGGGTGGGGTACTTTTGCGTCGGGCGCTAATGCCTAAGGCTTATTGAACGATAGACAACGTATAGAGAATGCTGGCTATAGTAGAGTGGCCGTGCCTAGCACCATTGTTGGCTAGAGTTTAGCGAACCATGAAGAACGCGTTTAGACTGATAGCTTTTTCACAGCATGCCTGCTAGAGGAAATACGTAGAGAAGTCTAGATGGAACGAAGCGAATAAGAAAATTCTTTTCTTTGAGCTGCGGCGCGAGCCACTGAAGCAATTCTAGGCGTCCGTGTATGGAAACAGGTTGACTACTCGGCCCGAGCGATCCATAATCTTGGAGTCTTGCACAAGGACCTCGAGCCTCGCAACATACTGTGGAGCGAGGAGACTGGTCGAGTAATGGTGATTGACTTCGAGCGGGCAGAGGTTGTCCGCCAGCTGAAGCACCATATGCTGGATGAATATGCTAAACGCCGTAGAAACGGACTCTCCTCCTTATCTAAAGCCGTCGCCTCTTCGCCCGCGGAGATTCGGATAGCAATGGCCCCCAAGCCGGATGTTGGAGGACCTCGTCGATATCTGGGCGCTGCGCATGGTTCTTTGTTGCCCACTTGTGTCTCACCATCTCGATAAAGAGACCGCCAACTGCAAGGGGGTTTTGGATCAGCCCATTTGCCGACAGACGTCATTGAAGCTCTGCGAAAGGTAACACTCACGATGTATGTGGTCTCTGTCCGGCGATGCACGCGCATTCTTGTAATCTCGGTCCATTGTGTCAATGGCCTCCTGATAGCGCGTCTGGAAGTACGGGCGTAACGCTTTGCAGGGCTCATCGTCGCGCCACGGGTTAAGACTCAACTTCCACGGGTGGTGGTTATATGTCAGCTCAAACAAGATGACGCCCATGGCCCAGATGTCGATAGAGTGATCGTGATTCCCCAGCTCAAGCTCGGGAGCAAGGTAGCCGATCGTGCCACATGTGCCTGGTTTGGGCGGTAACGACTCACCAAGCCCGATATGCCTGGATGTGCCGACATCTAGTAAGACAGAACGGTACTGCCCGATGAGGCCGATGTTGGGCGGTTTCAAGTCGCGGTGCAGCCAACCTTCGTCATGCATGGCTTTGAGACCCAGCAGTGCCTCCCGGAATGCGGTCGCCGCCCGCATCGTCATGCCTTTGAATCCTCTGCCCAGTCCATGTGTCAGCTGCGCTCCCTCAGAACACAGTTTCAAGGACAAGAGAGGCTTACCCCGTGCTCTGAGTCCCCATCAAGTCAAGAAATGTCTGGGGTGTCATCGGCGTTAGGACCATAGCAACATTGTCAAAAGCCGCCTCAGAGGAGAACTCCTTGTTGTTGGTGTAGATAACTTCATCCATGCGTAGAACTCGCTCGCCCTCTGGTGACTTCGTCAACAAACCAGTCAACTCTTGAAATGTCTGAACTTCTTGATCCACGTGGTGACAATTTCGAGAAGTCCGCTCCAGCATCTTGATCGCGGCTATGTTGCCTGACGAATCCGAAGCGAAGAACACCCTTCCACGGATTCCCGCACCCAGAGCACCTCCCAGCGTCCAGTTGCCCACCGTTCTCCGGCTGGGGAGAGGGGTCGGCATCTCCACATTGATGTCGCCAGCCGACCACCCGCCGAGATTTTCATCCATGTATTCCGTGCGCGCTTCCAAGAAGGGATCTGTGGCAGCGAATTTCGTCCACTGAAAGTCGTACTCGAATTTGTCTAACTGGATCTTCATTTCATACTGGTTTAAATGGTATGGGCTCCGCATGACTTTATTACCATTAACTGTCAGCTGTGCCGTCGGAGACCGGGAGCAGCCTATAACGAAGAGGCCCTTGTTTTCGAGAGAGAAGTTGAAGCGCGCATGAGGATTCCGAAGGTCGATATCATACAACTTCGCAAAAGCCCTGGTGCAAAGGACCAGGTCGATGGGTATGTTTTCTAAGGGGCCTTTTCCCACCCTCCATCCACTCTCCGGCTCGGCCGGCTGAGACTCCAGGCTCAGCAAATAACGGCCGGCCCAGATCATGCCGAGCTCTTGAAGCAGTTCCTCGGTATCGGTATCTGGCTCTGTGAGGGTCTCGCTCGCTTCGCCATCAGTGTCATTCTTGGTGCGTTCCATCTCGCGTCGAAGGCGAACGATTTCGTCGTCGCATATCTGCTTGGGCTCGACGCGCATGTGGCGAAGGGCGGCTTGAGTGCCATCTGTCTGGCTATCTTGGCGCCGAAAAGTGAGAGCATCGTATACTTCGCTGAATGCTAGTCTGGCAAGGGCATTTGCGGGGGTAAGGGAGGCAAAGGCGTGATCCAACATTTGATAACAATGGGGTGCTGACTGCAGACTTTGGTGAGGCAAACAAGCTTCAATGAAGTACTGAGTGCTGCGGGGAATGTGCACCTTTTCAGATGCCGCTGCCAATTTAAGGAGCACTTCCCGACGACTGCGTAACGTCGAGGCAGCCAGAGGACGACCACTCGAAGTACAAGATATGAAACGTTTCGTGCACTGCATCTCACTGCGCGTCAATAATTGGTACTTCAGTTCCCGTCTCACGCCCAGCCTGGTGCCCGTCGCTGGTCGTCACCAATGAACAGCCGCGCGACCGAGGTACTGGTCCTGGCTGGTCCGGCGCGCAACGCTCACCACGCTCTCACACACGTGGCGCGCCGCCGTTGGCGCCCCAGTCCACACCCCCTACACACACCCTGGGCTCCGCCGCTCCACCTCCCCTTGCGCAGCCGCCTGGCCCGGTGTCGCTGCTGTTGCGCGCTGCGCGTTGCTGGGCAGGGCGGGCGGCGGGGGCTCGCCTTGGTGTCGAATTCGATAGAATCAGCAAGAGTCGGCAAGAAAACACATCGCTATGATCCTGCTATTGATACTGTATCCAGCGCTTGTAGCAATACAACTCCCCGTTTCTCTGGACAATGATGCCGCTGTGGTGAGTTTTGTCGACAGCAATTAGACCACGTGATGCTGACTCATGGATTTCTTGCCGAGCTCGCGTCCCCGAACGCTCGCAACCCCGAACGCTCACCTCCCCACCGTGCCACCTTTCCAACTTCCACTCCAAAGAGCCTGGCAAAACGGTCGACTCGTGTCGCATCTGCACGAAGCCGTCGCTGGCCATGAAATCGCGACCGGGCAGCCCACCCACTACCATGGCCAGCCCACATGGGCTCATAGTAAGCGCGCCACTTGTGATTCAGGTTTGCATTGCGGCCCATCGAACTGACCGCCGTGCGAAATTTGTAGGATTCCTGCGACATTGTTACCACCCAAGGCGCCTTCCTCGGCCCTTGCTTGCGCACACCAGTATTCGAGAACGGCTACGACAAAGACTTCCTTGACAGACTTCATCGGAAGCTCGAATTACTTGTCATGGTGCAAGGATGGAGAACTGGCAAGTACCGTGAAGCCGCCGACGAATGGCCTATCGGACGTACGCCGCCAGAGATCAAAGAGAGGCGGGCGGCCGAGATGAAGGCGCAGCGTGAGCTCTGGGACAGCGATTGCAGCACCGGCGATGAGGACCCCAACGTCATTTACACTAGGGTTGGTCCGGGGAAAACAGTAGCAGCACCAGACCGGCCACCGAGACGGCCGACGCCGCCGGTGCCGGGCCAGGCAGACTCGCTCCCCACACCGGCGCTGTCTACCGAAAGCCCTCTGAACACATCGCACAGGACGAAGCGGCGGAGGATACCCGAGGAAGGTGAGGAAGCCTCGGTCACGACAGAAGATGCTGCGCCCAACATGTTGCAGCAGAAGCGTCAGAAGAGGCAACGGGCTTTCGACGTTGGCGGCGGAGAAAAGGGGGGCAAGGAGCGACGAAGCAAAGTGCGCGTCGCCACTCGTACCAACAGCACATGGCTGGAAAGACTACGACCACGTCCAAAGCCATCAGCTGGTTGAGGATTCCATCAGAAAGCTTCGCTCGCTTGTGACCAAAGGCCTCAAAATCCGACTCTCCATCACCATGTTGCCATAGCAGAGGACTGGGCAGAAACGAAACAGCCGAGTCCCCCTCGGACAGCTTCCACTTCCTGGCTAGAATCCGTTCGCGTGGATTCGAACCGTATCCCACCGAAACCCCTGACATCGTCTCTTCCAACAGTTCTCTCACTTTCCACGCCCTGTATGGTCCGCAGCTCCCACAGCAGCTCGTCCACTGGCCTTTCATCCGATGTGTCGAACTAGTGTTGCTTCACCTTGCCACGTCCGCCTCCGCCAGCCCTTGTTTGGGTTTCGTAGGCACCACAGGCCCGTCGCCCACATCCTCCAGCTTCTCCAAGAGCGCAAGCCCGTTTCCACCGAGCTGTGGGCCCGTTGAAAGAGCCTCTTTGTATGAGAGATCAGGAATTGGGTATGCGATGGTCTGACTTCGGGTCGATGTTGTTGTGGTGGTCCGGGCTTCGATTGACTCGGTGGGGCAACCATCGATTGGTGGTTGCGCTGTGCTAAGTGCCACATCCCCAGCACCGCCAACCTCGCAGCACCGCCAAACCCACACCGCCAAATCCACAGCATCGCCAAATCCCCAGCACCACGCACGCCGCACCTTCGCAACCCCGTAATGCCTCGAACTCCAGAGCCGCATGCGAAACCTCGAAACGTAACATGCCAAAGACGCCATTTGCTGCCGCTGAAGGGGTCTCTGTTGCTAACACCTCGCTGCCTTTCGATTTTAACTGGGACGGAATGGCGCTGGCGATGCTGCTAGGCACAGATGGAAATTCGCCAACCGCCGAGCTAGCACGTGATCCGGCGGAGGCTGCGAGACTCTGAAGCACCGGAGGAACATCCAACGAATCCGCGATCCCGGGCAGACGGCGCTGATTTTAGGCAGGACAACCCAAGTTTGCGCTGCTTCTGCGAAGCGAGTCAAGCAGTGACACTCTTGCGATTGCGACCGGATGGGCCAGCCTTTGGGATGCGAAGATGTTGAGATTACTTCTCGCGCATAGGACAACGAAGTACGTCCGGACCGCCCCCTAGTCTTAAGCTTGGAATGTTTAAATAGTCTAACCCGCAAGACGCTTATTGTACTGAAGAATGGGTGGCCGCCGGTTTTGACAACCTGGTCTACGGTGAAATGCGCCACCTAGTTTTGATATTCTCTCGTCGTTCGCCGTGTTGCACGTGAGTCATATCTCTTGGATAGTCCCTGAGGGTTTGCTGAGCTTACCGACTTCGAATTGCCCGTAACAGTCCGTTTCCGCCCCGTCGCGGCACGAGGAAAGCGTCGTCCCCCTCTGGAGGGAGCTGAGTTTGACTCCAACGGAGCGTGGTCGGCAGTTGTATTCGCTAATTCAGCTAAGCTAATCTCTGCAGGCTGGCCTTGCTGAGAGGTATTTGTGGTGCCAGACGCTTGGCGGTGATTGTATCAACGGGAGGTGGTCCCAAAAATATTCGCGCGGGGTGGTTCTCCTGTTGCTTTACGCATCGATTGCCCTCACCCACCCCCAGTCAGCCACACCACCTCTCGCCGCTTTACTCAGGCGCTACTCAGGTTGTGACCAGGAAAGCCATCAAAACTGGTTTAGACAAGTGGGCGGTGCTTTGCGACGCCCTGGAGTTCTGGAAATGAAAAATGTCAACTTTTCGCGAGGGAACAGTTTTGGGCCACCTGGGTCCCAGATATGGGCCCCCCCCCCCCCCCCCCCCCGAAGGACTCAATGGGCACCCACCACCCGATCTGAGAGTCCTCTCATATAAAACCAGTTCAGGTCCCGCCATCGCCCTCCATTCCTTCATCTTCTCTCACTTTCCTTCTTCCACTTCCTCCATGCTCATTGCGAGAGTAGGCCATTCCCATTCTCCGTCGACCCCTCTCGCCCGTTAGATCCAGCTTTTGCCGTCCTTGAAACTCCTCACAGCGGATCGCCACAACTCCATTTGCCCTACGGCCACCGACTGTTTCGGTCCTTCTACCCATCTCAGTGGCAGTCACCGAAGATGGGCAGGAAAAGGACCGCAGAGGAGAGAAGAAGATGCGCTGAGGAGAATGGCTTCAATGACGATGACACGGATGTTGACGATAATCCTATCCCACGAGATGTCTTGGATTACACAAAGGGACGATACGATGTGCAAATGGAGCTGTGGCTTGAGTGAGTTGCCTTTCCAGCCTTTCGGTCCCGATTGGAACTAACATGCTCCAAGGTACAAAACGACACACCCCGAAGCCACTCCCCACAGCTTGAAAACTCTGAAGCATTTCGCCGAGTTTATGGCCAACTCCATCAAAGGATTGCTCGATCCAAATGGCAAACCGACTGTTCAAACCGTACGGAACTACTTCCGATGCTTTGTCTCCGGTTGGAATATAGACAATCCCAAGTCCTTGATTTCGAGAGACCATACAGATTCCATCACCAATGTAAGTTCCTCGAACCTCCAGTATCGTCAACCTTTGACACTGACTGTGGACAGTACATCAAGGGGCCATTGAAAAAGAAACTCGGCTTGTCAACGGCCACGAGGCCAAGGACCTACCTCACACTCGAGAACTACATGTACATGGAGAGACAGCTCTGGCAGAGTGACGGGCATGAATATGTCCACGACGGATACCGGGTGTCCATCAGTGCCAAGCTGGAGTGCCATGTTTTCACCTCAGCCAGAGTAGGCGAGATCAGCGAGGGATCTACTCGGAGAGGAACCGGCAGAGGGCTGCGTTACAAGGTCAGTATCACGGTGAACTTTCGAGGACGTGAGCTGATATGCATAGGATACGGAAATGCTGGTCGCATGGAAGGATGGCGAGCCAGAATTACGTTACAGCCTGAAGAGAGAATTTGCGAAAGGAATGCATGACAAGGAACAGCAGAGGTGAGCTTAGACATATCTCAGCAGGTGTATGAGACTCGGGCGCTAATAATTCCGCTGGTGACAGGCCAACACACATCTTGTACGAGCATTTGCCCGACCAACCTCTCATTGTCAATCCAATGCTCTTCATGCTCGCCATATTCCTGGCGGCGGGAGCATTCAAAAAGTACGACACTGTCGAACAGGTGTTGGCCGTCGAACCACCAGCGGATCAAAAGTACTGGGTTCTTGAATGGGCCGATCACGTCCTAGATCTCCCTGTCTTCCCGGAAATGTCGGCAGACGGTCCGACTCAGAAGATCCAATCAGCTTCTGCGTTCTGCACGCAGGTCAGGGAGCTGTCACTGCGAGCAGGAATGGAACAGCCCGTGACAGTACACGGCATCCGTCGGGAAAGCCTTATCCAAGCTACAAGTAAGGCCTTTTACTTATTCCCTTATGTTCCAGTCAGCTAATCTGAGTATAGGCAATGGCTATTCAAAAGACGAGCTGATGAAGTTTGCCGCACACACGAACCAGATGACCATGACTAGAGACTATTTGAGCTCTATCACTGTCGTGGATGGTCTGGGAGGCTTCCTCAAACTGCCTGTTCGAAGCGACCAAGCCGAGGACTTCCGGTCTATGACTGTGAAGAGAAACCCTGAGCTTTTCCTGTCGTTGCCTGCAAAGACACAGGACGAGCTGAGACAGAGGGAAGATTACGTCACCATCACGAAGAAGCTCGAGGGTCTCTCTTTTGAGACAAATGCCGAAACGCGAACGGCTGTTAGGAATCAGCTTCTCAAGCAACGGCGCATGCTTGAGAAAGAAGAGCTGAACAGAGTCCGCAGTACCCAGGACCGGATGCACCCGGCAGAGCGCGAAGGGAAAGGGAAGTATCATGTGGACCAGGACCGTTCCTGGTTCGATCGCCTTCGACACATGATGCCAGAACGCGAAAGGCTCTCACATACACTCTTCTGCGTTTCTCCGCTACGGAGCTCGGAGGGTGTATCGGCTGTTAAGGATCTTCTTTCTCTTCTGAAGAGCAACTGCCGAGTTGCTTATCAACCGTCACTCCGGCCGCGGCAGGGCAAATGTTCAGTGCCACATTGTGGAGTGGACCTCGAACGGTAAGGACAAATTCAGAACTGAGCTCGGCTTCTTATTGCTAACGCATGCATCTACTCTAGGATACATATTGACCACAGATGGAAGCACGTCTTCGAATGCTCTATGGCGTACCACAAGGGAGGACACAAGTTCGTCGAATTTTGCTCTATATGTCACTATGCAGTGGTAGGCCTAAAGGTATGGGAAGGCTACTGTTAAGAGCACATCGACAGACACGAACTACCTCTGCGCTGCGACTTCGTCAAGTTCCGCCGAGCCATCGTTTACGCCGGAAGATGCATGACATGCATGCACAACGAACGACTGCCTCCCTCTCGACGGCTGTACGGTTTCAGGAAGCAAGTGAGCTGGGAGAAACACATCAACGATTGCTTCCCTACATATTTGGGGAAGCTTGGTACGGCGAAGGTGCTTCCGTGTCCTGACCCCAATTGCTCCACAGCATACGAGTCAGAGCAGGACTTATGGTATCATCTCCAAGATGCCCACAGCTATCCCGCCCGAAGCGTCGGGACGAAGACCGAAAAAGAACGGGATATCTTTGTGGATGGGGGACGTTCCCCTGTCGAGAAAAAGCGGCGCCGAGTTCACGTCGAGAAAGATATTGGCAGCTTCAAGTCGGCATCAACGGGAAGCATCAAGCCAGAGGCCAGATCCATTTGGCCAACACCAATTCCTTCCAGCCCTTGCAGCAGTGGTCCGGAAACAAGCATCGACTCCTCCGGCACCGGTACGCCTCAGTCCTCAGTCTTTGACGTCGATTCTCTTCCTGAAGTATCCCCGTCAATCGCGTCGATTTCATCACCATCTCTCAGCTTCGCTGATGGGGAGAACCTTTGCGTCAACGAGCACACCACATCTCCGTCTTCGTCTTCATGGTCACCCAATGGTCCTAATGCATGGGGCTGGGCGGAGGGACGAGCATGTCAAGCCGATACAGCGCTGTCTTTCATCTGTCATGACACGTTTCAAACGACGCTCGAGGATAGACGTGAGGGGAGTCTGTCTGATATTCAGCCGCCCCTCTCTCAGATCTCCGGTCCTGTCGATTCGACGGATACCATTGCTGCACATGGGAACCAAGGCGCATTTCCGGGACAATGGGCAAATGAAAGCTTACGGGCTACTCCACTCTTGTCTACAGCCCCCATGGAGTTGGTCGATCCGGAGCTTGGAACTGACATATCCTCTGCCGAGCACATGGAAGGAGTGGTGACAGAGTCACCTTCAGTGGGCCAAGGAGGTAGTGACGATGGCGGGGCCCTCAAACCTGCCGCAATCGACGAGGATGACGACATATGGGAGGTCGAGGCATTGCTTGCTAAATGGAAGCAAGGGAGAAAAGTTCTGTACCTTGTGAAGTGGAAAGGCTTCTCTGATGAAGCTAACTCGTGGGAGAAACGAAAGGACATAAGCACTGAGTTGGTCGATAAGTTCGACACCGCCTACTCGGAGTACGGAGGAAACCATTTGGGGGTGGAATTGCTCGACAAACGGATACATCAGGGAAGGGCTGAATACTTTGTGAGGTGGAAGGGACGTCCTGCTTCCGAAAATTCTTGGGAGAAGGAATCAACCATAAGCTATGAGCGCATTGGTGAGTTTGAGGCGCGCAGGAGAGGGAAGGTGTTAGAGTTTTGAAACGGCTGCGTATGGAATCTTCTTTGGAGGGAAAGGGGACACTCTTCCTAGTAAGTTTGGGATTCATGTTCCATCACTGATACCTCTCTGTCCTCTCTACCCGACGAAACTGCGCTCTGGCTTTTAACCCACCCTCTTTATTCTAACAAGTTTACACTGTAGATTTAATGCCAGCTGGCTAAAGGTTCTACCTATCTGACATGTTACAGTGTGAAATGACTAATGCACTAGAAGCACGCTCCCCCCCGATTCTGGGATATTCCCCTCCATCCCCACGTCGTATTCTGACCCAGCCACCTGCCCATTGGACTACGAATTCACTGCCGGCCATGACACCACCATTATGCCGACTACTCCACGACGAATTGGTAGCGCCGACGGAAATCGAACGTATTGCACCTTTATTCCCACCGACTCCTCAGTTTGCTCTGTCTCCTCCCAGGGACAGCTCACTGTCGCGCCTGGCCAGAGCCTGCTAACCAAGTCATGAGCTTCCCACCAGTCTCCCCAGTTTCCATCAGACCTAGTACGCCGTCAATATCCATGAATTTAGCTAACTGTCAGTTTGAACACACCTGATACTAATCGCACTAGGAGCAAGCTGGTGGGCTCTTAAGAGGATTGCGCACACAACCAAGTCGTATGGCTTCCGGTCAGTCTTGCAGTCGCCACCGCAAATGTCGAAGGTTTCATGGCCGCTGCGATTGGTTTGAGCGCATTTCCTTTCGACACATGCGGGTACAGTGCATATTGACTTACTCGTCGCCACGGCCGTTGAACTGAATGCCCTGGATCGCGTCTAGAATTGGCGGCGATTCATCGTCGCTCTCGTATTGCACGTGTACCCCAGACGCGTCGATGATCTTGCGGCTGTCTTCGACCAACTTCGGCAAGATATCTTGCCAAAAGGCGGCTCCCATTATGTTCCAGTAATGCGAATACCTATAGAGGGAATCAATAATCGGATAACTCAAGTTGAAGGCTTAGATCAATTCAGCTTACCCCATGCTAGGTCTGACTGTAATGTTTGCTTCGGTAAGGTGCAGAGGCAGCTGGGGGGCTTCATCTACCTCGCGGACAATCCGAGGAGGGCGGGTTATATATGCACTGGGGAGGTCTCCAAGGCATCCACATATACAGGATTCAGGTTCTCCAAGTCCACCAGGGAACCTCACTCAAGGCAGCATTCATGCGTGCTAGCGAATCAGCCCCAGCCCCAGCGCAACATGTGCCTTGCCACTACTGCGCCCCTTGCAATGTCCACATTTTTGCTCGCAATATCACCCTCGGACATCGAATTGTGGAAGAGATCGTCCGAGACGACACGCCAGGTCTCATGGAGATGACAAGGCCCCCAGTCTGTCGTTGCCGCAAACAGCTGCGCCCCAAAGCTCTGCCTCAATGGCGATGGGGCCGCCCATGATCTTCGGAAATGCCGACACCAGATGGGCGCCGCCATGTATAGCATGCGTCATCACCGCGCCGTCATCAAGGCAGTGCAGGCGGAGTGACCAGCGAGTGTCAAGTGTACGTGCTCCCTTGGAGTCCTTCTCTTTTCCTCTTTCCCTTTCTCATCTTTTCCGGTCCCGAGATCCTTTTGCTCGGACGAGATCAATGGTTTCTCTTGGTTCAAAAGTTGGGGTCCTTTGGCGGGAAATTCGTTCCATCCCACCGCATACCCAAATAGCACAAATCGGACTGATGCCGGGGTGCTGGGAATCATGCCATTGACACGCTTTCATTGGCACAAACACGATCTGGCTCTTCCACATGGGATATGTGAGACTAGTTCTGGGCCAAATAAGATAAATGCTATGGGATCCGAAAACGTGTCTACGTCGAACGAGGTGTGGCCTAGAATATGGCCTCTGTGCTATTTTGGGGGTGGGACTGGAAATGGTGTCACGTATCACATGTGCTCGCTCGGTGTGCCCATGTTCCGGTCCCCGGAGCAACGTATGGCCCATCAACGTTGACGTTGTGGCGTCATTATGACGGGAACGACATCGTTCGGCATTGATTCCAAGTGCTGTCTATACCGGAGACATAATGCATGAAAACAGAATAGAGCTGAATGAATGATCTGTGCGAGCTTTTGGTTCTGGGAACTTATACTGTGTAACCATGTTACAGCACAATGTTTGCTGTGCGCCGTCTGCGGAGCCGAAACCGCGGATGCAATGCGCCTCCCAGCTTTCAAACAATGACGCGCTAACCCCACCTTGTTAGGACGATATCACCTCCATTTCCCGAAACCTATCACATCATTAAAGTCGTAATGGATCGTTTCGCAGACCGGTCGCTTCGTCCATCGACCTTAGTTCCAGCCCACGTCGTTTCAAATGGTTCCAATCAAGGCCCTCTACCTCTGGCTCTGAAACGGGCCGTTTTTGTTACTGGGATCGAGCCGATGTTCGGTCCTTTGTATCTTGCTTCGTCGACTCCTTCTCACACCAAACTTGCAGCGTCCGAGGGGAGACGTGATCCAGTATGTCGGGGGCAAAGACCCAGGTGTCCCGCTGGTCAGGGAGTCGGACCAAGTACTCCAGTCGCTTATGAATAATCTTCCTTTTAGGCCGCGGTGTTAAGACCCTGGACTAGAGAATGTGAACCCAAGAATGCTTAGGAGGTTAAGGACTTGGACTTTAAGAAACATTTTCGGGATATGTTAGTACGGCTTCCCGAGTTGGTGTCGCAGAGGGAGGCTAACATGGTATAGCGTGCGCTAGTTGTCGAACTTACGCTAGGGTTTCGTGCGACAGTTACGTTGAAAGATCTAACGCGGGCAGATTTCGACATCTCTATCTATCTAGGTAAATATCGTTGTTCTAACAAGATGTAGTTAGTGCGTTATTAGAGGAGGCTTATTGCGGTCTTAGAGTAGGACAGGGAATGGCGATTTTCCGCTTCTTAGACGGGGCCAGGCAGACATTACACAGGTACCTAGCCGCCATTACATGTGATTCGCTACTAAAAATAGACATCTACCTGGTTTAGGTCAAGGCTAAGGACTTAAATCTAGTAAGCTCTAAGCCTCGCATAGCACAAGTTCTAGGTACATGAGTAATTTATCGCTGCCAGACATGCATAATCTTATCGAAATAATCCTATAATGTTAACTTGGGCGAACGTTGTCCCACGGCCAGGAACGTAGAGCCGCCGAGCGAGCGAACGTGTTATGCGAATCTGTTTCTAGGTCTATCCTAAATGGTATAGAGGCTATATTCTAGGCTATATCTAGTCTAATGTACTATGTAGACACGTGTTTAGATTTAGAACTCTTTATACATCTATACTTAGGCCTAGAACTTAGTCTCGCACTTTAGAGTATAGGAGTCTATGTACATTTACTAAAAGGGGATAAGAACATAACACACGATTAGCCTAAGCAGTAACTCGTAAACTAATTATAGAACGAGCTTTCTCTTAGAGAAAGACTAGGCTAGTTCTACTTATATTAGATTCTTCTAAAGAACTTTTATAGTTGTGCTACTTAGAAGAATATTCTATATAGGTAGGCTAGAGACATAAGAGACGTAGAGATGCAAGGCCTATTATTCGTAAGAAAAGGGCCTAATAAGAGACGTAATTCTTATTAGGTAGAACATTAAAGCTTCTAGAAAGCGACTTGTAGGCCTTTTAGGTTAAGTTTATCTCTATTCTAATAATAACCTCTAATATATACGTAGTTATCGTCTTCTTAAGCTATTCTTACTAGCTAAGACATAGAAGTCTTTGTAAGGCACTAAAGAGACAGAAAAAGCAGAATGCTAGAGTATTTCTCTAAGTTAGCTTTCTATAAAGATATTACCGCATATGCTATAACTACGCAGGCTAGCCTAATACCTCTTTAGCACTTATAGCCGTTCTAGACTTTTAGAATAGCTAGTCTCTAGTTTATACACCTAGGTATATAGAGAGTATATTATTTTAAGAATATAACTTATACTAGGTAATTTATTAGATAGTATATAGCTTAGTTTAGTAAGAAGAGAGTAGTAATACTAGAAAAGAGAATAAAGTACTAAGTAGTATTAGAAAGTTACTACTTACTATTAATATATAATAGCTATAGCTAGTCTTTCTTATTTATAGCTCTAGCATATATAGCTAGCTTCTTAAAGAAGAAGAAGATTATTATAGAGAAATAATAGCCTATAAAGAGGTATTAGACCTTTAATATAGCCTAGTAAGCCTAGTAATAGTAAATATAACTATTAATATATTATTCTATATTTATATTCTTTCTTACTCTTACGTTAAAAATTATAAATAGATATAAATAAAGGTAGCTAACCTAGAAATATTTTCTAATAGATTAGTTTACCTAAGACTAGCTATAAGATAATACCTAGTAACTATTACTAGAAATAACTATAGTATTATCTTTAGACTAGTTTATTTATATCTCTACGCGCTATAGCTTCTACTACTTCTAGAGTTACTTTAAGTTATTATAAGTTATTAGCTATTACCTACGTTACTAGGTAATATATATACTTTTCTATACGCTACTTACTTCTTTATAAAGTATAACTCTCTCTTCTCTCTAGAATATAGTAGAATAACTCTTATTATTACTTTAAGTACTCTACCTATAGATCTACCTTTAAGCTTTAACGTACGCTTAGATAACTTAGCTTTAAGTCTATAACTACCTCTACTAGAACTACAGCCTTCTTTCTACGCGAGTTCTACGGCGCTAACGCTAGCTTTACTTTGCTCTTTCGCCTCTTTAACAACTTTAACAACTACTTAATATAGGCTAATAGCTACTGCTATTACTAGAGCTACGTTCTAAGCTTCTAGCCGCGCTTTAATATACGCAAGCTTAGCAACGCCTATAAGCTCTACGGCGACCTTGCTAGTATAAAAAAGTAGAACGTGTACCTTAAGTTTATAGAGCTATAGACACTACTAATTTATAGCTAGGTTAAGCGTAGCTATACTGCTAGTACCTCTTCTACTACTCTTAAGAGCTCTAAGATAAGCGGCGCTAT